CACACACACACACACACACACAGACACACACACACACACACACACACACACACACACACACACACACACACACACACACACACACAACTATAAGTCTATTATAGTGTTAACAGGCAGATTAGCTGTACTAGGATCTGCTCTAAAGAGGATATTATTTATCCTATTTCTTCAGACAAAAGAAAAGCAGAAAAGCTCCACACAGACACACATCTGTCATTGAGTCTTTACAGGTCTTAAAACATTCACTCGCACTTACACACATGCATGCACACGCACACACACACACAAGAAAGAGTCATAATGACCACAACACGGATGCAATTAAAATAAGCTTAAATTTGAAACAATGTGTGAAAATATAGAGGGGGAAATCAAACAACCATGAAATTAAGTCAGGTAAAAAAAAATCCCAAATTAAATTTAAATCATTAAAAACATATATATGTGAAGGTTTTTTCAACAGCTGCAGTCAGGAAAATGTGTAGCTGTCTTAGCTGATAATATTTAAAGTGATATTTTTGTTTTATACATATTGTAATTTAATGCATTCTTTGCTTAAAATTGCAAATAAATAAAAGGCCAAAAAATGCTGCCAAACTGCATGTCTGTGCGAGATAAACTGCACAATGTAACGAAATATGTTCAAAAGTGAAGCTGATAAGACTTTATGATTAATAAACATGTTTTAAGTTGATTCTTCCTAAATCTCTTCTTTGCTCATTTATCAGAAAACCCAGGTGTTTCAGAAGAAGCAGGCAGAATGAGGCTGGAGCACCACTGTACCTCCTCCAGGTCTCGGCCCATAGTCGACCTGTCACACTTCAAAGGAAGCCGCGTTACAGCACCCTTGCAAAAAGAAAAAGGAAGAGGCTATTTTAGAGATTTAGTTTTAGAATAAGTGCATACACTAAAATGTTATTTCTGTCTTTATTTATTTCTGTCGTTTTAATCCCCCCCTGAGTTCTGCTCTGCGCCTGGGTGGGCATCCCCAGATCCTCAGGTGAGGACTGTTTTTTTACGAGCTCTTCAAAATCCTGAAGTTAGTTCCCACGTTTCTTCGACTTGAAGCAAGGAAGAAAACAAAATGAAAAAAAAAAAAAGCCGCGGCCTCCGGCTGCTGTGTTGTGGAGGAAATATCCCTGATGAGCCAATTAGGCCCGCGGTATCACTTAACTCCGGAGTTTTTAACTTGCGAGGGTCGATATTCAGAACCCCGGCGTGAGGAGGAGCGAGGTTAAATAAGGCTTCGAATACATATATATATTTCTGTAATGCATGGAAAATAATTAAACTATTATTTGTG